ATCAACAAAATCTTAGACTGTTGTTATTGATAAAAAATAGTTGGAGGAAAAAGCATGGCTATTCAAGTAGCATGTTGGGGAAGCATCGGAAAAACAATTTTTAACTCTTTTGGAAAGTAATATCATATCTTCGCCATCACAATGAGATTGAAAGAATTGCCTCTTTCCAGGGTGCAGTAGCAACCTTTTAATTACATGTGTATAATCATGATTGACACAAAATCATGTTCAGACTTCAGAGTTGACAATGCTGGATTTCTAGTGAGAGTAGAAAAATGCTCGACCACATAATAAAATAGATCCTAAACATCATTATCTAAGCCTTATCCCAACTATATGGGGCCGGCTACATGAATCCTGTTTTGCCATTTTGTTCTGGTTAGTGCCATATCCATTGTTAAAAATAGATCCTAAACATGCCAAGGATATATACTTGAATGAATGGATTTATTCCATAATATATGAGAAAACATCAAACAAGAATGCTCCTCAAGCCTTTCAATGGTGTTTCAAAGTTGTTACTTGTTAAATGTAGATGTGAGCCATGTGGCAAATCAAGACTCTGCTGGTAGGGGTATTGTGGTTCAAAAAATTGATGCTAAGGTGACAGAAAACAACTTCTATGGACAGGTATTAAATGCCATGATTAAGACGTGTGTCAAAACTCCAAAAAATAAAAGGTGACACTGTCCAAATCCTATGGATGTGGACGCTAGAGGCGATGTTGAAGTAGCATTCTCTAAATTCCAAGGATCAAGGATGAGACAAACTTTTATTTGATTGTCTTCAGATTTGACATGGTTGTGTCAAACATTTCATTGTTTTGACCAAACTATTGTAATTGATGTATGGGACTTGTGACATTTTGGTTGAAACAACAAAATTAACTAAAACATCAACTGTAACAAAATGGTAACCCAATTAGCTGACTCAACAAAGGAAATGCAACCTTAGATATTGCCTAGTCCTATGGTTGTCAATGCCGCAGGGACCTTGGTGACAAGGCACCCATGGAGGGTTGCCTCACACAAGCACTTAGTTTTTTTCGTACAAGTAAAATATAATATTTTTTTAGTTGGTAAAATTATAAGACTACAATAAAAATTACACTAAATTATTTATTTTGTGGGTGGGCACTCAGCCTCTAAAAGACCATTTCCTGTCTCTTTATTCTATCTCCCTCTTTAAAAAGAAACCTATCTCAAGATTCCATTCCCCCTGTTCTCCCTTTGGCATTAAATTGGGACCATAGTTGTCAAGGCGACGCTTAGGCGACAAGGCGCCCTTGGAGGCTCGCCTCGCCCAGTTGCCAAGTAGTTTTGTGCACTATGTTATAAAATACTTTAATATTTTTAATTTTTGGACAATATAATTATAAAATAGGCATTATTAAACTAGAATACTCATTTTATGTGTTTATGTACTAATTTCTTTTTATTATTTTCTTATTTGTTAGTGTTTAATCAACACAAACATTGCTAACTGCTGTATTGAAACCCATGGTTCAAAGTATCACTACACCTCTATGTATTGGCAGAGGTGTATCAGTACTTATAACGATACTCCCCCATTTTTTTATTTCTTTGGTTTTCAAATTTCACTTATATATATATATAATTTTAAAAAATGGGTTCCCGAAAACACCTGCAAACATGTGTATTGGGGCACCAAAGATACAATACAATACACCCGATACGGGGTGTATTGTATCGAAGTTTTGATCCTTGATTGAATCCTCAAAGATTTCAGAACCTGAACCAATAAGCAAGGGAAGAACTTAAAATTTTGTCTAATCAACACATTTTCTTCTTACAAGTCTTCTTCTTCTTCCACCTTTTCTTTTCTTCTTTTCCTATAACAAGAGTAGGGGTTTAGCCCCTATATTTTTTTAATTTTCTTTCCTTTGTTCCTTTTCTTCTCATAAAATGTTGATTTTCTAGACTTAAACATGAAGTTTATAATTTTCTTATGAAAATTATGGATAGTTATTAAAGAAAGTTGGCTATGGAACCTAGGGAACTACCCTAGGATATGTGATTTTTACTTAAAAAAATCCATCGCCTAGGCGACTAGACGCCCCCTATCGCCTAGCCTCACCTTGGCGCCTTGAAAACTATGATTGGGACTTTGGGTTTTGTAGAGGCCTAAGGGATGATGAGTTGTTTGTGTTTCAGAGCTCTTGCTTCTTCTAGAGTCTGTGTGTTTGATCCCTCCCAAACCTGATAAAAGGATTTGGACACTGACCCTAAGTGGCTCTTTCACTTGTGCCTCTTTCTTTAAATCCCTTTGTTCCTCTCCCCCCTCTTGGGTTTTCCCTATTAAAGAGATCTGATCAAGGCCAATTCCTCCTAAAATATCAGTGTTCTGTTAGGAAGCCTACTATGGTAAGATCAATACTTTGGAAAACTTGCAAAAGAAGAAACCTTATATGTGCTTGTCCTCAAACTGGTGCTTTTTATGTAAAGTGAAGAGTAAGGACTGTCACCATTAACTAATATCTTGCTTTTTTGTTGCTAGTATTTGGAATTGGGTATTAATGTTATTTGGGTGCAGGTGGAACTGGTCCTCTAAAGTAAATTTGTTCTTTGAACCATTTGTCTTTGGGCGACTGACAAAGAGAGGGAATTTAATATGGAAGTGTATAAGAGCAGCTAGTCTGTGGACAATTTGGGAGGAGAGAAATGTTAGAATTTTTCAAGAGGAGAGAAGCCTTGCTAATGTAAAGGAGTGTATACTGACAAGGACAATTTTCTGGTTGAAAACTCCAGACCTGTTCGTGAATTTTTCTTATGATGATTTAAGGAGGAATTGGGCAGCAATGGCATCCACAACTGCCACAAAGAACAGACTACAAGATGAATGGAAGCCTCCTCTGGAAAGAGTGATTAAACTGAATTTTGATGGAAGCAGTCAAGGTAATTCAGGGCCTCGGGTATAGGAGGGATCTTGAGAGACAAGGACAGCAACATTATATCCTTGTTCTCAGGACCAGTGGGAATTGGAGATTCTATAAGGGCTGAAATATTAGCAGTGGCACAAGGTATACAGGTTGCTAACCAATTGGGAGTCGAGAACTTGATAGTGGAGGGGCACTCCAAGGTGGTAGTGAGCTAGTTGTCAAATCCAGAAAGTCTTTTGGGGTTACAGGGACCTTTGGAAGAAAGTTAATTGGCTAACAAGGAATATGGCAGTTAGCTTTCAGAGTGGGTCAGCAGAACGGAAAATTCTATGGCTGATTCATTGGCTAAACAAGGAGTATAAAGGGGTGATCTGTTTTGGGCTACCTTGTAATTGTATTTCCCAGTTAGAGTGTGCTTTTTCTCAGTGTTCAGCTCTAAGGGGAGGTAACATCTCGTGCCTCCTCTTAGGCTGATTGTACACTTCTTCCATGCTTAATAAAATTCCATTTATTTATCAAAAAAATATCTTCATAATTCATATACTGGTTCTTGTTAATTTCTTAATTGTTTAGAGTTCAATCATCAGCACACAAGTCAAGTGGACACTGCATTGAAACCTTGAAGATTTCAAAAACTGAATTGATAAGAAAGGAAGAAGTTGAAGATTTTATCTGACCAACATGCAAGAGCAACCAGGGTACGTCTTCTTTTTCCAGGACAAAAACAGGGGCTCAACCTCCTCTCCTTTTTATGTTCCATACATTTCTTCTTTTTCAAGGACAAAAATAGGGTTCAGCTATATATTATGAGTTATCTTTTCTTTCTTCTTTTTCTTTTCATGAATATGTTGGTTTTCTATGTTTGAAATGAAGTTACTCATTTGATGAAGATTCTTAGAAATTATTAGTGAAAGATGATTGCTGGTTGTTAAGAAACCTAGGGAATTGCCCTAGGATTTAGGTTTTTTAATTTTAAAAAACCCATTGTTGGGATAAGGCTTAGATGATGATGATGGTGATGATTTAAAAAATCCATTGCCTAGGCAACAAGGTAACAAGGCAATCCCGTCACCTAGCTTCACCTTGGTGGCTTGACAACTATGCCTGGTCCTAAAGGGGAGATTTGAGACATGTAAATGGGTTGATATTGTCATTCAACAATGACCAAAAAGAAGCCAATTACTTAGCCAAGTAGCTTAAAGCAAGCTCTTTTTTTTAAGATAAATAAAATTAAATTAAAACTGAAATAGGATACAAGAAAAGGTGATAAGCAATCACCCGAATGAAAAAGATAAAACACCCAGAGAACAACCGACAAACGCTTAAGACACCCAAATATATAAAACCCTCTCATCAAAACCAGATCCACAAAATCAAACCCCATACAATGTGAAAACAAACAACAGGTCACAACAAACAAGCACAAACAACACCCAAAGAATACCCAAAGCAAAAACAAAACCACCCCCACCCAATACCCATAACAAACCCCACTGAATGCCAAATCAGCAAGCCTACTTGTTAATTATTTTGATTGCCATCTTCCTGTTGTCTTCTGACTGCACTTCTGAGTTTCCTTACTTTCTTGTTAGGTCCAAGGCCAAACATTCCTCCTTTTATCCTTGCAAAAACCTTTGAAACTGGTAACTGTTGTTGGCTTCTCTTACTCTTCTGAGTTTTGAATCTTCTAATTGTATTTAACTTTCCAGCAGCTTCTTCTTTTTTTTTTTTTGATAAATGAGCGGCTTCTTCTTTTTTAATGAGCTTAAAGCAAGCTCTTGCCCTTTTCTTTTTTTAATGAGTACTAGTCATATTATTTTCCCTTCCTATAGTAATTTCTTTTATGGTAGATGCAGTTGCAATTCCTTGGTATACTCGCTTCCAATTTTGTCATCACAGCCAACTATGTTAACAAAATAAAGTACACGTGTTTGAACAACCATAAACTCCATGCAGGTAAATATTTCCAACACATTATAAAATAAATCATGTACTTTTTTCTTTGCTTCTTGGCTCACCTTTTATGCTGCCATTTAGCAGAGAAGGAAAGAGAATGAAATTCAATAAAAAATTTATGGAGTATGCAGCAATTTTTACTAACCTTGTACTTCGAAGTATCCAAAATGGATAGTATATGAGACGAAGTATGATCCATGACAAGACAAAAAGAATGAACGAAAAGCTAGCAATCCTTTCCCAGCCACTGTATTTTGACATCTTTCCAACTTCCAGAAACACATCACTTGCATCATGAAGAGCTAAAACAACTGAACCAACACGAGCAAAGCTGCGACAAGATGGAGATGCAAATTGTCAGGATGCAGGATATGAGGGATAAAACACCATACAAAGCAATGACTTCCATTCCTATAAATTTAAAATCTAAATTGTCTATATGCAATGCAAGTTCCTGAGATACAGATCTGTATGCATAAAAAGTTAAATATAATAACTTTGCATTAAACCATCCCTGGTACATTTTGTAAGTTGCAATTCTACCTGCTACCTAATGGTTGTGGTGTAGAACCTCAGCTTTCAGCGAGTCTGAACAATATGAAATGTACCTGAGTATGTAAGATAACACAATGAGAATGACAGTTGCTACATGATGAGACATTGACACCCCAAAGTCTGAACGTCTTGTTTCCCAGAAGATCAGAGCAAATATGGAGTATGTATAAAATCCAGCAGCATACATGTACAATCCTTTCAATTTTAATCTGTGTACCAGGAAAATATTCTGTCAGATGATTCCATGAATAAAGATGCTGATCTTCACAAATCAAACTATGGAAAATATTGAATTGGCCTAATAAAACTGTATGAGTTTAATTAATATATTATAAAAAAAAAACATTCATCAAAATATATATATATACTATAAAAAAAACTTTACAAACCATACTATCTTTTGAATGCATAAAGATATATAAACAAAAGCAGAGTATCTCATACACAAGCCCGATAAAAAGCCTATCTTGGATGAGCAAGTGGGCAAAAAAAATTGGTATGCTATATGATGAACCATGGGTGCCACAGTTAATGGCTTCTCCCGTCTGAACCAAAAGATAATAAGAGATATCCTCTCTTTCTCAATAACTGAAAAGAACTTCACTAATCTAGGAAAAGGCAAAAAGTACAATCATTAGGCATTCACGCAAGGTAAAGGAGATAGCCTTTCAAAGTGAAAAGGACAAGAGAAAGAGAAGAGTTACTGCCACACCTATTAAAAAAAGTAAAGGTACTCAAATTCATATCCAAATGTCTTACATTCTTCACCTTCAACATATTACAAGCATATATTCAAATAAGAGAAACCTTCTGCCCTTAAAAGCCAAAGGAAGGGGAAGAGGGAGATAGATACATAAACAAAAGGATAAACTCCATAAACAGGCTGGAACCTTACTTAATCTTTTGATCAGGCCAGATTTGATCTCCTGGCCCTACCCAAAAATATCTGGTATTAGTGAACCAGGGCTCATCATAAGTAACAGAGAGAGCCAAAAGCTCTGCTGAAAGGAAATAAACACATTTCCATGCTGATTCCTTAAATTTCTTGAGCTTCCTCCTTCTCTCTTCTATATCAGCCTCCAGCATCTGATGCCCTTTTCCGAAAATGAGAAGTCTTCCCAGTTTCTACAAGAAGCATACATATCAAGTTCAAACTAAGTAAGAAATCCTGAAGAAAAAAGAGAAGAAAATAGGAAGCAGAGAGGGGAAAAGGTACATATCCACTGGCATAGAAAGTAGTTTCGGCTTGATGATTATATTTCACATTGTAAACAATCTCTCAGACAACAAATTAAATGTAATGAACCATGTACTAGAACTGAAACCAGTTGATAATAGCAATTATTCCTAAACTAAACAAGGATTTTCTAACCCAGGTGAGCCAATTTGGTAGAGTGATTTTCAGACATGCATTTTTTATGTTGGTATACTACACCAGTGGCCACTCCCATCAGAAAGTAATTGTTTAGCATTCCTCTATCCAGGAGAGGGTTTTGTCTTGCACATGGTAATAATTTGTCAAGTAACAATGTGAAATGGCATACACAAGATAAAAACTAAAATATATATATATATGGTCTCAATTACCCCCAAGGATGTCATTATACTGTCTGGCTAACAAGATAGTTGAAGCAACATCAATTTAAATGCAATCACTGGATAAAGAACCTTAACACTTCAGCCGCTGCATAAGAAGTCTAAAAAAATGTACTCATAAATCATAAGTGGAAATAAAAATACCAAGTCCACATGAAGCAAGATCTGCAAATGACTGGTGATATCAAATCCAGGATATGACGAAACAAGGGTGACATTCACACATAACATACACAAAAGATAAATAAAATAATAAAGCATATTGCTTTCCAAAGTAGCATCCTAAAATGTTTAGATAAACTATTAACACAGACAAAGTAAAGATATTATCAACTAGAAATAGAAGGACAAAAGAGAAATGGGCACAAAAATAGTAACTTATTTCATTGGAACCATGCATTTACGCATGTTTGTGGGTGCGTCTGTTTACTATTACCAAACATAAATTAGTTGGTTAATTTGTTCTGAGGTAGAGCAGTCCATGTAAGGATGAGGATCATGGTATGATACAAGAACCATCCAGGTATGTTCATTTTTCATGTTGAAAAAGTGCTGAAAATAGAGGATAAAAGAAGGAAACATACAACTAGGGGTGTCAATTGGACTGGATTTGGTCCAATCCGATCCAGTTCAATATGAGTCCATTACAGATGGACATGGACCAGGTCCAACCCAATCTGATGAATAATTTCCAGTCCAATTCAATGTCTGAACTATCCAATCTATTCAAATTGGTTCATTCATAAAAAATAAAAAAAATAAAAAAAAAAAAAAAATCTATTCAAATTGGTTTTAATTTAGATTGGTTCCAACACAAACCTGGTCCATTGACACCTGTATTCTTATCTTCTATCAATGGACCAGATATTGGTTCAATCCAACACAATCCAATATAAATCCATTAAGGATGGACTAGGTCCAATCCAATCCAATAAATACTTTGGACCATTAAGTCTGGATTGGTCCAATTCAATGTCTTATTGGTTTGTCCAGTCTGTCCAAATTGATTTTGATTTGGAAGGACCCAAAACTGGTGACACCCCTACAACATACCATTTCTTGCTTCTCCGCCAAATATCACCATGTTGCATGTAGGATGGAGGTAACTTGTTTCTCATGATATCTCCCCAAGTACAAGAGAACTTTCATATTTTCCTTTTTGCTCATGTTTGTGACTGATCTGTTTATTCATGTTATCTCTAGAGCAGAATAAGGCAATGTGGTACCTTATCTTCTTTTTGTTCACTCCTGTAGCTGATGCACTTAGCTGTCTTACCTCTGAGCATATAGATCTAGTCTTATTAGAGCTTTCAAAGTTGAGGTTCACGAGTATCCATATCTCATCTTCAATTTAAACAATAATATTTATATTTTTTGCAAGGATGGGGGGTGATAAGGTACATTGAATCTTTTAGTTTTGATTAGGTGCACTGAGAATATCACTAGTGTGAAAAATAATATGAGAAAAAGTACTTTGGTTGGTATTAATTTAGAAGAGGACAAACTAGAGGAATACACTAGACTACTATGGCGCACTATTTGTCCTGGCCTTTGAGTTACACTGGTATTCATCATTTTCAAAGCCCTGTTCCAGATGGATTCACCAAAAACATCTTCCTAGATACAAACTATCTATCATGGGAGCAGGATCATGCAGTTTTCTAAACTTTCCTGTCTCTTTTGGGTGTCCAAAGCTCCCGTGATGATAATTTCAAGATTGGAGAGAATCATGGAGAGGGGGACTTTATTTGCAAACTAAGGTATTCTAAAACAGACCATTTTAAGATCATGTATTTGTTGGTTAAATTGCTTTGGACATTACAAATTGTTTTTGGAAAGCATTAGCCATCTAGCAACTACAAAATAAATGCAAATGTGCGGGAAGCAGGTCTGGCAAGAACTCTCTTTCTCTCAGTTCATCAGTCTTGGTCCCTCAAGAGGTTTTTCTTTTTGGTAGGGGGTGTTCCTCTTGAAGGTTAAAATCCCTAGGCTTTACTAAATATGCGATTTAAAGAATTCCTAATTTATATTTTGCTTCCACGTCTCCTTTGGGGTTTTAAGGAGAGGTTTGAGGGACATGACTCTGTTGATACTAGCTCTATCTCTCTTCTAACCCTTCTGGGTGGGGTCTCTTTTTCCATCCCAGGTGGATATGACAGTACTGTTTAGTCTTTTGACTTAAAACTCAAAAATTCTTACTAGGTTACATAGACCCAAACCTGACCCAATTATTAATCAGGATCAAAAACAATGGGCCTTGATCTAAGAGATTAGATACACATCAGAAACCAGCATAAATAGTAGGATTGGAGTGAAGCTCCAAATGAAACGTGTAAACCTCATCAAGTTTAACTCAAAGCATTCCATAGTCTAATGTAGTCTCTGCACCAACCACGGAACACTTTCAAGCATCTTTGCTTCAATAATGTATGAGCCCATGTTTACTGGAGCAAATCCAAAAACTTATCACGTAAACACTATGTCTAAATGATTGTTTTAGAGATAACTGGCTTCTAACTCCTCATCCATCTTTTCTTAATGCAAATATCTGAACAGAAGTTTGTGCACGTGCAGAGCAGCTGAAATCATAACCACTTTTTCAAAGAGGCTATCCACCAATCAATACCTTCAAATATCAAAGCTGTAAATTTCCTTGCCTAAACCACTTATTACATACAAATTCTCCAGTTGAAAACGAAAAATGAAAAGAAATAATCACTGTTATCAAATTGAAGAACCCCAAAATAGCACATCTGTACAATCACTAGAAGAAAAATAAAGTAACCAAAACTGTTTTTCCACCACTGATCTGAAGGCAGAAAATAAGACGTGCCTATAGATTTTACTTTTTTTATGTTAAACATATAATTCATACACTTAAAGAGAAACATAGAAACAAAAACAACCACTTCGAGTAGGTCTTAACGGATCGATCGGAGATAACAACTTAAGCCAAAAAGATAGCATTCAAAACATCAACAAACAATGAAATTTCACACAAGTAAACGAATCTATTGAATGATAGAGTCGAGATCAACTTCGTCAATAAGCGTCGAAATTAAAAACAAACAAAAACCCAGAACAATCAGATAACACCTTGAGCAAACTACCTCAAAAATAAAACGGTCGAGAAAAAACCGCACTGCCGGGAAGAACAAAGCGAGGAAGGGAAGAACTTTGAAATCATCGTACTGTGGGTAAGATTCCTGCTGCCAGTCAATGGAATTTATCGGTTCCAATAAACCCATCTCTGGATTTCGAATGACCGTCGAAGCTAAACAGATGTCAAGGGAAGTTGAAGGCTTGCAACAAAGGAGAGGACAAATTGAGAATAGTCGTCATTCGTCTCTCTCTCTCTCTCTCTCTCTCTCTCTAGTACAATAAAAACCTCGTTTTAAGTTACCTTACACATTCAACCAAGGTTTCTAGTTTCTTTGTTTTAAGGCAAAAGAGTTAAAAAGAATAAGAGGGGGGGGTACACAGCCTGGAAGCCCATCCCCCAACCAAGAAGAGGCGTGATACAGCTCCAGGTTTGAGCTACAGTGCTACACACCCACAGCCCACAGGCCACAGCCAGTAGCTAGCTGGCAGCTTTAACTGTTTTAGTTCTCGATCAAATCAATTCATTATTCATTCATTCATTGTTTGTGTTGTGGAATCCGCCTGCGGTCTGCGTCGTCTGACTCGTGACCCTAAAAAAAAACTTCACTGATGATCTATCATTCACCCTTCAAATCGGAATTCGGGCGCTCTTAATTGATCAAACTACCCATCATTGTTTGACGGTGAAACGTGGGGTCCGATCAACTGGGGCACCATACACACGTCAAGCAACGAAGTTGAGTTGGATTAATACCCATTAATCGGATTAATCTGAAGATAAAGATGTTGACATGTTACCCTGTGCAGTTATCAGCTCTGCATATAACTGCAAATAAGTCGGAATAAATCCACTAATCTGAATTCTGTAATGTCTGGAGACTATGTATTTTACAAATTTACCCTTAAAGTTATTATTTAAATCAAAATAAATAAAATTGATTAAAATACAGAATAAAATAGTAATAAATATGATTAATATTATAAAAATAATAAAAAATTAATAAACAATATTACAAATTATATAAAATAACTATACAATATAATAATTTTAATAATATAATAATACTAATAAAAAATTATGTAAGATTTGCCTTTATTATTTAAAAATCATAAAATATAAAAAAAGAATCTTAACCAATAAATAAAAAATGTTAAATATACTATCAAGGATAGTTAAAACATTACAACTATTTTAGTAAAATAATTAAGCACCATAAAATAAATGCAAAATATTAAATGAGGTTTAACAACGAACAATTGGGAGATATATCACTTTTTATTAATTTTTGAAAGGGGCACACTTAAAGATAAGAGAATTTTTCTCTCAAAATCTGTTTTGTTTTCGTTTTTGCAGGGGGCACACTTGATATGCTTCGCGAGTGGCGACAGTAAGAACAACGCCACTCTTCTCCCATCATCCCTTTTCTTCATTTGCTTTCCATCTTTCTTGATCTCCCTCCTCCCCTTTTATTTCATTATATTTTTTTCTTTTCCATCCATGTTACAGAGAACAAAAACAACCGGTGATCCTGGTTCGTCAATCCTCTGTTCACCATAGCGAAGAAGAAGAGGTGGAAGAACGGTCGGGATTCCTATTACGCTCATATAGAGGATAGTTGGCAATCCTGAGGTGGTGTTCAGTAGCGTTGAATCGATGATCCTTTGGTCAAGGAGATGATGATGATTATTGATGTAGCGTGATCTGGCTGCTCTTCTGTGTCTAGTGACCGACTCGGACCGGATGATTCCTTGTTAGGGCCAAGCTCTGTTAGGCCAAGTTGTTTTATTCTACAAGAGAGGGTTAGAGTGCCTGGGGTGGACAACTCGGGTAAAAATATTTTGAGAATATTTTAGAGAGCAAGAGAGCTTGAGAGCTTGTAAGCGAATGCACTTTCACAGGTAGAAATGAGAACTTTATATGGGTGTCACTGGTCTAAGTCTCCTTACAACGAGTCACATGTTATCGCAGAGCCGTTTCCGCTTGTTCGGGTGAGTTATTACATCAGTTTCATGTTCTGCACGGGGGTTATGGTTCGTCCGAGTAATTCTGATGCGTACAGTGCGGTCGGCCAATAAAGGTCAATGTATTAATGCTCTGGAGATTTCAGGCTAGTAACGTATTCTTAGGACAAGTCAACGGGCTCACCTAGCAGGTCGCCATAAATTCCTATAGCTCGACCAGTCTTTGAGGTAGGTCACCATATGCTAGGAGACCTGTCAGCTTGGCCCTGCCGAGGTGGAGGTCAACCTAGGCGAGGTGCTTTAGGCCAACTCGTCAAGCTAGTTCGCTTGCTCAACGTCGAGGTGTTACTCAAGGGTCACATGTTGTGATGTGATTCGAATGACCAAATTACCCCTCATTAATGATGATGATGATGATGGTGATGAGATGGAAGAATAGTTGGGATCCCTATTATGCCCTTACTGAGGACCGTCGATAATCCTATTACGTCACTCCTGTTCACCACAGTTGTTGATTCCTGTTAGACGATCCCTATTACAGAAGAAGAAGGGAGGAACAAAGGAGAAAGGGAGGAGGAAAGAAGAATAGGAGAATGAAAATACAAATGGGTATTTTGGGGAACAAAATATCGTCCGCTACCTCTGAGCACGTTCGAAGGTAGCAGATCCACTAAACGATTCAGAAGAATTTTCAAATTCCAGAGGTTGAGTTCAAAGGTGCAACCAAACAACCCTAAAGCACTAGAAAGCAAAAACTTTGGTGTTTAGAGGTTGATTCAACGCTATTGAACACCACCTAAGTAGGCATTTGAGATTGATGTCTTTTCCTCATAAAACGTTGCCACATTAAAATATGTTTTCTAAGGAAATGCGTGTTGATATTCAACAAGTCATCTTTCTGAAAAGCGTTTTCTTAGACCATGCCTTGGAAATCGAGAAAAGTGTGGTATGAGAAATGCCCTTTTTGGCATTTTCTCATTTTTTTCTACTATTGCTAATAATAGTGTGCTGATGTGGCATTAAAAAACACCTATGTGTTAGCAAATAGAAAACATGAGAAAACACCATACTTATGTAGTACTATTTCTTGAGAAAACACCTCTTAGGAAACAACAATCCCAAACACCGTCTTACATGATGTTTGGCATCAATAATGGTTCCTCCTTGTCGATTATCCGGGAATTGGTGATTTTTGAAAAATCACAAAAAATTCTTGTTTGGTATCATTTATGCTATATAAGCTTATTTTTGAAAAGTGGCTTTGAGTCTGTTTGGTACCATTTCTTAAGGACCAGTTATTTTTGTATTAGAGTTATTATTCAATGTCATGTCATCCTTAAAAAATTAGAATCAATTAGAAATCAAGAAATCACCAAAAAAAAAAGGTGATCCCTAAAAAGGGATGATTTCAATAATCAATTTTTGGCTGATTCCTTAAAGTCACTAAAATTGGCCAACAAAACAAAAATTTCACATCAATTCCTCTAACATTGGAATGACTCTGACATGACAATGATTTTCAATAAATCATCATTGATGCTGAACATCACCTTAGTTAATGTAAACGGATCAAACTCAAATATACCCTAATCCAATTTGTCATGACTCATTCCGAGCTATTCACTATTAAATATTAGGGAAGTTGTCTAAAACTGACTTTTCACTTTTCAGCATTTCTCTTAAATTCACCATAACTTTTCAAAACTTCCAAGAACCCCATCTTAGTAAGTTTTTGTTTTCCAAAACTCACCATAGCACCATTAGTGATCATTGACATAAATCTTTCATGTCAGCATAAATGCAACTTTCATGACCAAACAGCCCTTGAATGGGGTCAGCCTTATTAAACATATTTTATGACTAAAATGTCCTTAAGCGCCCAAATGACTTATATATAAGATTTCCACTCATGGAGAGACGTTTTACTCTCATTATGATGCTTGAAAGTATTTGAAGGAAGCTGAAAAGGTTTGAAGAAAAGCTCCCTAACCAAGTATCTGAGCTTCCTTTTCATTTTATTTCAAAATGCACATTTGTTATTTTGATTGGCCAGGGTTGTTTATGGCGCTCCAACCATAGATAATTGCATGTGGGGACTTGGTTGCTACGTTCGCCATGGCCGTGAACGATTATGGCGCTCTAGCCGAAGATAATTGCATGTGGAAACTCAGTTTCCATGATTCCATCCTCATCAGAAAATAAATCAAAAGCTGCTTAGGCGAGTGTACAAATTATCTAGAAATCTCTTCCCATAGTAGACCTTACATTTGGTGATATGAGTAGTCGGTGGTCGTGGAGAACCAAATAGGGGTGATGAGATGTTTTGTTTGCAACGGAGCAAGGGAGGACCAAACTAGTCGTATGTTGCTGCAACAGTGGAGATAAGGGAAGAAGAAGGAGGATGAGAGAGAGAGAGAGAGTAGGTGAAAGCCACAACGGTTTCAAGAACTCTGTTCTCTGTTGTTAGAATGAGGAAGATTACGGAGGAAGAAGAAAAAAGAGAAATATAAGGAGATGGGGAGAGAAAAAGAGAGAAGTGGGAGGTTTTGATCGGTGAAACTTACCGCTGCTGCTGGTTTGATGTTGGAACAAAGAAGATGAATAGTGCTGCTTTCGACTTGGTGATGATGATGGATCGTCTTCTCATTATCGCTCAAAATAGCATCTACTTCTCCCTCCCTCACCGCCTGGGTGAGAGTAATTGCAAGCAAAAGTAGATTCTAGCGACAGAGCAAGGTGGGAAGACAAGTTCAGGTAGATCACTTGGTGTTTAGGAGTTCTGTTCATTCAATGAGAGCAGGCGCGCGGGAAGGAAAAATTTAACGATTAACGAAGGTTTGCTTTTATTGCTCGCACATGGGAAGCTTGTAGCCGTGTGATGGATATTGTGTCACCCCCACGATATGTTGGAACCGAGGTAAAGGGTTGATGGGAGATCTGGACGTAATAAACGTTAACAAATGGTAAAATGATAATCTAAAAACATCCCTTAGTCTATTTAGGCTAACTTTGGTTGGTAGGAAAAGGTAGGCAAAGGAAGGGAAAAACAGGGAAATCAATACAAGGCTTGTAAAGGTTTTTCTACCTTTTTCTACATTTTCCTTCAAACCAAACATAGCCTTAATGTCTAAGTTATTAATATGGGTTTCCCTGGATGTTTTGAAAATTAATGGTGAATTTTAGACAATTTCTCTAAATATTTTATATTATAATATACTATTATATTATATAAATAATGTATTATTTATTATTTTATAATTTAAATCAAATATCTTATATTATAATATACTTTTTCATTTGCAAATTAATGGTGACTTTTCAGCATTTCTCTTTAAGTTCACCATAACTTCTCAACACGTCCAAGAAACCCCATGTCATTAAGTGATGTTAAATAGATTAGTGGATGTTGGTAGATTACTATTTTACCCTTTGTTATGTTGTAAATGAAAAATAAAGCAAAACTTTGATAAAAAACATAAATA